TAAATAAATAAATAAATAAATAAATAAATAAATAAATAAATAAATTAGAAATGTATAATAATACGTAAGAGAGAGGTTGACAAAAAAGGAAATTGAAAGGAAACGAGAGAAACAAAAAATAGAACAATCGAAATTAATTGTGCGCTGAACGAGTCGATGATAATATTAAAAAGAATCCAAACTCACGAACGGAGGTAACCATAGGCTCACCGTAGAAGCGTGCAAAATGTAATCGAGTTAGAAAAAAAAAAATGCAAATTCGTCAAAGAATATAAATGTACTGCGATAAACCTGTTCTCTTACTATCAAGCGGTCATCAAACGAACTTTCATCCCGTGTTATGCAACGATCAATTAAAAACAGCGATAGGAAATAAAAATTAGAAAATAAACAATGATAAACCTTCGCGGGGGAGTTGAGAAAAAAAAGTGTAAAATAGTGATAACAGCGAGTAATTGAACAGACATAGAATAACGAGACTAATCGTATAATAATCAGAATGAATAACGATAACAAGAGTAAGAGTATAACTATGTAATAACTTTTTGCAACTGCGTAAGAGATAATTTGCTACAAACACAGAGTCTGGTCATGCAGATAATGGCCCGGGAGAAGGGGGGTTGGTTCGTTCTGCTTGGGTGATCGGTCAAATTTTGCGATTACTTTGTCGTAGACAACCCGCGACTTTCATTGAATCGGAAACAAGAATGAAAAAAATCCCGTATTTTCGTATAGAACTCGGGAGCACGGCTCTATCGATCATCATGGACGCTATGTTAATTACGTATAGCGACAGTGAAACGAGTTAAACCCTCCTTAAATCGACAGGAATTTTTAAGAAAATCTTTTGAAACAATCCTGAAAGGGTTAAAGGAGTTTCGCTTCGTCCTTCGATCGATCGTTCCAGAGGAGGATCACTAGGAGACAGCGGAGCTCCTCCTCATCACCCAAGCAATTCGTATGTTGCCAAAAGCCGACTTGATAGGACCGCCGAAAGGGTTTTTGGTTCGCGTGCGTGAATTATACAAGATTTAGACACACACATTCACTCACTACTTAAGCTATGGAGATTAAAGAAAGAGAGTAAATAATATAGAAGGATAGACCGAGACAGACATGGGAGAGACGAAGAGGGGGCTGGGGGGAGTGAGAGAGAAGTATCCACGCGGGCGAAGTATCCACGCCAGCGAACCAAACCGCCCCATTGGTGGCTAGATAATAATATAGTCAGCGGTTATTGGCATTCATATAAAAAATGTGGAAATAGGATGTGTCGTAAAAGCTTGTCAAATTAATAATATTCTACTGCAAATAAGTTCAACACTAGGTCAACTGCGACTCCGCAACCATAACAACAGAGCTAAATTATGCTCACGAACAGAAATACATGTAGAGATATATGTATATATATGTATATATATATATATTATGCGACTGAACGTTGAATAGTAAAAGATTCTAATACGTCTATTCCATTGGAAGGGAGAGATCGTGACAGATATTAGGAATACTAAACGCATTTCTTTCTAAACACGTTCCTTTTTGATAGAAAGCTTCGTCAACGTGTGTCCGTGCGTTTTGCTTGCTGTTAAACAAAAGGAAATGAGATACACAACAGCAGGTTGATTTCTGATTTCGCCTTTCGTCATTTCTCCTTTTTGTTCGAAGCTCTCGGTTACGTAATGCGTCAGAAAGCTCTCTATGCAAGCGACAAGATTGTTCCGTACTTTCAATTGGCGACAGCGGTAAATTAGAATGGTCTGGAGAGCATCCCAGAGAGCGGGGGAGAAAAGAGTGTTGCACGTCATGTGATAGAATCGTTTCGAAACAATGACAGACATTGCCTACTTTGTACGTATTGTAATGGTAGGTATTCTTTTTTCAAACTGTTTTTGTTCGAGTGCACGTTGTTCTGCGCGGCCTGAATTTAGAGGATCACGCCATTGTCGTTTTCATGAAATTTGACTTTATGGTTTCAAAATAATCGCGTAAAAAGGTTAGCGTTTGAGTGAGGCGCGACGATTTTTATGACAGTGTGAATGGAATCGTTGCTGAACTTAAATGAAACATTTCAAATGACATTTTCTCGGACAGAAATTTACGTGAAAGACAAAGGAAATGATTAAAAAAGCTTCTTTCGCATATAATGGTTATTTTCATTTGATGCTTACGATTTTAATGATTTTATTCGTTTATGGTGGAGAAGATTATAGATTCTCGAGTCTCGAGGTGGGATGATGGATTTTAATGTGTTACGCAACCGATGCTAATACAGGAACTATTAATATTGATATACATGCAGTACACGTTCGGACATTACGTAGCAACGGTCCATAACCGTGAGAAGATTTTCTAGTGTGATTAAAAAAAATTGAAAAAAAAAATATCGATGCACAAAAGAGAAACAAAGGGTAGAAATAAAAATATAATAATTTAAGTATTAAAGCGTTAGGGTTTAAAATATACAAGGTGTTTCAGGCTAAATGATACTTAATATTATTTCCAAACGAGTACACGGTATCTAATAAAAAGATACCCTGTATTAAAGAACGAACAATTTAATTGTAAATTGTAGCACTAAATTCTGGTTGATAAAAATCTGCACAAAACACTCTAAATTTCATTCATAAAATTACTTGTATGAGCTAAAATTTCATCGTAATATAAAATCACAAGAAGACTCTAGTTAGACCTTGCTTATGAATAAACATTATTTTTTATCCTGAAAGAGAGAATATCGATTGAAATATAGAAATTGCGAACACCGTGTATACGATTGCTGTTATCAGATGCGGCGGATTAAACGTATCCTGACACTAATCTTCACAATTAACGCGCAACGTTAAGAAAAAGAAAGCCAATGGCAATCAAGACAATGGCATGATAATAGATATGTATCTATAATAGTAAAAACTGTATAATAACAATGTGTATAGGTATACAATCTATATAGTATATGTATGATATCATATCAAATACATGGCAAACCGTTAAAAATGGTAAGTTCGTACTAATTACTGAACAATAAGCGTGCATCTCTTTCTTCGTGAACAGGTTTTGTCTGTAAAGGAGGGAAGTGACGACAACTTTCGAAACAGCATAATAATAATAATAATGATAATAATAATAATTATCGATGTAATAATAATAATAATAATAATAGACAAACACCAGATAAGGCAGTGGTTATTCGCAGTTATAGTTGCGGTGAGCAGTCGTGAGGGAAATGCCCCCAAAAGCTACGTGTTAGCCAAAGTTACCTAAGGTTCAGGCGTTACGTTCGATCGGCCCAATCGTTCTAATGAAATCGTCGAATTATACATCTCGTATACATATGCATGCCGGAATTTAAACGGGAAACTTTTTTAATGTGAAGAACTTTTAGAACGATCGAACGTCACCCTTCCCCCTGTTAACCTTGAAGGTTAGCAGCATTAAAAGTTCGGGCTTGCATCAAAGCACCATGACGGTCTGCGCGAGGGATTTTATCGGACGTGAAGCCGTGCCACAAGAGATCCTCGAAGTTTCGATCGGAAACCTCGCGAGATCTTCTTGTCCCACGGGTCGGACGCGTTAGACGTTCTCCGCTACACCAAGAAAAAACACCACACAACTAATAACAATGCGCACTAGTATCCTGGTCCGCGGTGACCAACAGGATCGTTATTGACAAACGAGAAAAAAAAAAAAAATAATGAAGAGACCTTTGAAAAAAAAGACGAGAAACAAATCAAATTTAACACAGGCACATTACCAATCATGCATCTCGAAAACTCATTTCACCTGTTCAATCAGCGTCTGGCGCTTCTAATGCAGACCCGAGACTGGGTAAAAAACTGGTTACAATAATGAGTCTACCTGTCCGCAGCTGTCTGTGTAGACGACACAGTGAGCGTTTTGGGGGACCACTTGGGCCCCGACAGTGGCTAAGGCTGCTAAGGCGATCCACATGCAGCAAACGAGGCAGTGTTCGATACGGTATTTTTTTTTTTATTACATATTTTTTCCAAAGTATTTGGTAGTAGTAGTAGTAGTAGTATTTTTTTTTTTTTAAATTATTATTATATATTATTATATATTTTTTTTGGTTTGGTTTATTCGGTAGTTGTTACCAGTCGGTTGAATTCGGTGGAAGAGGCACCAAAATCAAACGTGAAGCACGTCGAACGTGCCGCCGGAGCACCCAGGTACATGTACACGGATTTCAATTGAAAAAAAAAAAGAATATGTTGTGGGTGGTTGTAGAAACAGATTTTGGCATTTAATTTTTCATCGAAGGATAGGTATTGCATTTTTTTTTCAGTGTCCACAATAACCATCGGCATCGTTCGTTGAAAGATGTCCGCAAGAGAAGGGATGGAATTCGTGTTCGTTATTTTCCGTTTGCCGACAAAGTTTTTTTTTTTGACAATGGTATTACGTAGTTATTTTCCAATTTGGTATCAGGGGATGATAAAAAGGATTGGTAATGAACAGTCGATAATGAATATTCGAAACGATGAAGGTAGCATTTTATGCGAAGATGAGATGATCCACGTGTGATTATGTTTTACGTGTCACGATTTTTCAGTTTTTTTTTTTTTTCGTGTTCGATCAATGACGAAGGGAGAGATGCATGTACCAGGGTGTACGAGACGTATACGCCGGCACATATTATATGTACGCGGATCCGTCGTAAATTATAATGGCAAATTGCGATTATTGTTGTCATTGTATCGCGGGTGATGGGCGGACATGGCGGCGATAATGCGGCGGCAGTGCACACATACCAAGCCAGCGTTCAAATATCCAGAATGTATGTATACATGTGTGTATATACGTGTACACAGAGATGCCGTATACGTGTTCGAACGCACCGACGACCGAGAGATAAAAACAAGAAAAAAAAAAAAAGAGGACAGATCTCGCGTTGCAGCAAGGGGGTGAACACGATGGATTGAAAGTTCGAGGAACGATTCGTGAGACGGCCCATCACCGAAATTCGTTCGTCGACCGAGCAAGATCAAGTGACATGTACGTGTCAGAGTGTGATCGTGTTTGATTTTGGTCGTCGTGATGGAGAGAAGCGAGCGCGTGTGACGACACAAAAAGATCGAGTTGATTGATCGTGAGTAAGTAATGCGTGTGAAATTTCACGGTCGGATCAAATGGAATGTAAATAGGAAGAAACGAAGGAAGGACGGATGGAAACAAAAATCCCCGGTAAAAAAAAGACGATAGAACCGAAGACAAACGGAAAGAATGGAAAAAGGAGAGGAGATGAATGGCGTCGATTGGTCGGACGTGGTATGTGTATGGTGTTCAGATTCGTTTCCAGACGCACGGGAATCGGGAAATGGTCACAATCGCCACATGAATGTAATTAATCGTAGAAGGAGGCGGGATTGGATTTCGTAGCAGTCGTCGCAGATTCCGTGGATGGAACGGGCAGGATAATTCAGGCACGTGCGGCGTTCCAGGATCAATTTCGGGACCGGACGGAGGGCGATTCGGGCACGTGCGTGGAGGGCCGGCCGTAGGCGAGTGTACGGCGGCCGCGCCGGGTGGATCAGAGGATCGGGGAGGGAGGGAGAGGGCATCGTGATACATAATCGTCGATGGAACCGGAATGAAAGCGTTGATGGAACGGAAGATCAGACAATTGTATTGCGTGGTAATTTTTTTGTTTTCGGTCGAAAGACGTGCGTTGGAAATCCAGGCGAGGGCAAGCATGAAACAGAAAGTTTAAAGAGAAGATTATATGAACGATCGCGCGATTAAACGTGCAAACTGATTTTTGCTTTCTTTGCTAATCGGATACGCATGTGTGTGTGTATGTGTGTGTGTGTGTGTGTGTGTGTGTGTGTAATACACTGTAAAAACCATATTATTTTTTCCCTTAAGAGCGTTAAGTCATAGACACGTGACGATGTTATACTCGTGTAGATGTCTGTGGTGTGTGTGTGCGCGTGTATGCGTGTTACGCTTTGGGTGACATAACAAAATTAATGGGTAACAGCAATGGTATTTAGCTACGATTCTAACGCACATATGGTCCCCTCGTTCGTGGACGAGAAGATTGTTACAAGGAAATAGTGAAGCGAATGATCTCGTTCGTTCGAACCAAATGCTATCGTGCTGTTCCGCTATACATTATATCGCATATGTAAATAATATATACTTATAATTAAAAAGATCGTGTCCGCATGCGCTTAAGCATCATTTTATCTGTTGTCCGTGTACGTGTGTTGTATACGTGCCGTGTGATGTACATTTAACCATGCTCCTGTAATGTAACGACGACTGTGGTGGCGTTACTGAATCGCAATTATGAAATTAAAATAAAACAAAGATAGACAGAGAGTGATAGAGAGACTGCCATGAGAAAGACATTGAGAAACAGAGATAAAGAGATATAGCAGAGAAACTTTTTATTTCGTTTGTACAATGAATAGCGGTGAAAGATATACAGAGAAAAAAGTACGAGCATAAGCCATCGGTATCATCTTCTCTACGCAAACGCGTGTCGCGTGTAGATAGTAAGCCGTTAAAAAATGTATGATCTACGTGCGGCGCTAATCAAAAGTACAGAGAAGCGGTCTATTCGCGCGTCTAAAGAGAGAGTGTCTTGCTGGTAAACAACGAGACGAGTGGTACGGTAATTAATTAATTGTGAAGCTCGAAATGCTTGAAAGCTTTTGCGTATGCGACAAAATAAAGTGCTACTGCGATACTTACATCGGAAAGAGTGCTTCACATTGGTTTTTTTTTTATATATATATATATCGACACAAGGCGTATACGAAGTGGGCGAAACCGTGATCCAAACGATATCTGTTTTCTCACTCTGTTTTTTCTATCGCGGGGATTTATCGGGGCTCTCGAGCTCGAACACATTTTGTCCAGAATAAAATATACCCGCAAAATTTTACGGCGGGATAACGAAGCGCCGCCGGTTTCGTCCATTCATATCCACCGATCGGCCGTCACAGGTCGGACGTTAAAGTGCGGCGATAAACCATCGGTCAAAATCGTCCTGGTCATTCGTGTGCAGCTCCGGCTTAATTTGCTCCAGCTCTGTTCGTACGGTGCCATGAACATTTGTTTTACGTATTCGCGATACGTAATGGCATCGACGAGGAGTATATCGCGTTCCAGAACCCGGCCGCTTGTCATATGTATATGTGCGCAGGTGTGAACGCGTACGTTTCGTGTCAATTCACTGCTGAAAATTGTCAGCGCTAATCGTCAACGAATCGGCCGCCGCGCCGAAAGAAGATACGCGATATGAAAAAGTTCGATCGATCGTTCGATCGACTGTGCACGTTTACTCGAACGGTGCAACTAACTTTTTTTTTTTTTTTTAATGACGTTTTTTCCTCGCGATGACACAGAACGTCGCGTAGGATCGTGGATCGTCGAGCAACTCTGCGTAGCACTCTTCTCGCCTTTGAAATCGCAAGGCAATTTTTCAAAGCGAATCGAAACAGGTGAGGGAGGCCTCGGCGCGATATAGTAAGTACGTACTAAATATATACACATATATACTTGATGCGATCAAAAGCGGTGGATTATTTTGATATACATATGTATAAAATATACATAGGTTGTAAATACAGCCCAAAGATGTATGAATAGATACAGCCTGTTTCGGTGACACTTCCTTTGGAATCACGATCGCTCGGTAAAGCGTTTCATGACGCCGGTTGCATGATTACCGAGGCTCGACACGTGTTGCAAAGGTCTCTCCCCGTGTGCCAAGCAATTACAAAACAATTCAATAGGCACACGCGCCATGTCTGTTTTTCTGTCTTTACGCAGGCGATAGCGGCGAAATAATATAATAATCGAAGCTGAATAAGAAGCCGACCGAACGCAAGGGTTTGGGTTATTTGGATCGGATAAATAAATTCGAAGAAGATCGATTTCCAGTTGTTTTGTACAATCATTTTCTTCGTTACGTATGTTTCTGATCATCTTCTAAAGTGTTGAAAGTGCCGCTGATTCTATGGAAGTGAACTTTTCATTTTACATAACAGAATACAATCTCCCTAGTATTTGTATTCCCAAATTTAAAATTCACTTGTAAATTTAATTTCGTAAATGAAATCGTATTATGAAGTTCTGCTTCTTTTTTTCCTCTTTCTACTGTTAATTAATTTTCTACGATTTTCATCAGTCTAAAAGATAATCAAGTACAGCGTACACACGATTCACAATTCTCGTATCGACCTTCTTTCCAACGATTATTAGTACAATTGTAACGGAAGTGGAGTTGGATTCTAATGTGGCGATTGTCAATAAAATCGTGGGAGCGAGGGAGCAGGGGACGTCAACTGTGAGATAAGATATACGGATAATATACTTAAATATCACTCTTTTGTGCCTCAAAATTTTTGCAACTAAAGCGCAGGATAAGCTGTGGTATAGGCTGTGGGAGGGTTCAACGGGACGTATGATATATGTATGTGTATACGTATACATATAACGTAATTTTACGGTAAAAGAGATGAGAAAGAAGTAGAATGAATAGAAGAAAAGAAAAGGGCGAGCTTTGCCGCTCGCTCGGCGGCGTTTATCATAATAAAAAAGCTGCTAACATCTACGAGGTTTGAGAAAACGACCGTGTGCTTGGCATCGTCTCTGAGGTGTGCGCATTTTCAGGTAAGAAACGAATAATTTTTCCCGGGCGAAGAAAAAACGATAACTTGCGAAGATCCGAGGTATTCATTTTCTTTCCTCTCTTTTCTCACGTATCGAATACGCGAGCGAGAATCACCAACGATCGAGAGAACGGAAATTATGAAATTTACAGAAATTATGAACGAGATAGAAAAATTGGTCAATAAATAAAATATCGCTCTCGCTTTTCAGAATTTCTTTGTAGGTCGAAATAAAACTGCGAGATAAGACTTGGACGATATTTCTTTCTCGATGCGAAACGAAATCGCTAAAGAAACTGAACGTTGGAAGAATTTGAAAATAAA